CAACTGACGTTTTTCCATTCACTGAAATTTTCTGCACATCTGCAACAAGTCTGTCAGTGGAGCAGCCACACTGCTAAAATTTAGTATGAAATTCGGATTAAAAATACATTCATTACCAGGAATCTTAGTACTTCCCTCTTTGTGAATGGTATAGAAAACTCCCCAATAATCTTTTGTTTTCTAGTAGACACCTCCATTATGGTCAACAAATACTGGTTCCCACTTCCTGTTTTAGTTAGGGGTCCTACGCGATCAATTCAGAATCTTGTAAAAGGTTCCTTGAATGCAGCAATGGGAATTAAAGGTGCTGGCTTTATGTCTGCCTGAGGTTTTCCAATTACCTGACATGTATGATATGTCTGGCAAAATTCAAACACATGCTTACGCAGTCCAAGCCAATAAAAATGTTTTTATGTTTTGGCTTGACTTTTCCTTACTCCAAAATGACCTCCTACTGGTAATTCATGTGCTATCTGTAACACCTCCTTTCTATGACCTACCGGTAATACAACTTGATGAACTTCTGCACAGTTCTCATCAGCCTGAATATGTGATGCTCTCCATTTCCTCATCAAGGTGGCATTTTTAAGATAGTAACTTTCTGGGATATGCTCAGAGTCTTCTGTATGTGCTTTTTGATAAAATTGCTTTAGTTTTTATCTTTCTGTTGTATTTCAACTAATTTCCCAGAAATAAAAATATCCAGGTTGTCCTCCACCAGTTCTTGTATTTTTCCTCAACCATTTGATCAAACACAGTTTCTGATAATTGAACTTCAACCTCCTTATCTTTACTCCTTGATATCGCATCCTGTTTCTACCTGTGGCTTTGTGAATTTGTTATCACACAGAAAAGAAAATTCCTCGGATATACTTCCTGTAACACCTCAGTTGCTTGATTTTCCACTGGCTTTTCAACCACAGTAGACAGCATGCCCACCTGTGAGCCAGCTATATCATTACCAAGGACAAATTGTATTCCTGGAATTGAGAATTTCTCTATTATTCCGACCACCACTTCAGAACTTCTCATGGACTCTTCAACCTCACTTGATACAATGGAACACTGTTCTTGTAACCATGAATTCCACATATCATCAACTTTTCTGGCAATACTCATTTTGAATATCTCCTCATCTCTCACCAGCAAAGATTGACTTGATCCCATATCTCTTAAAATCTTAATTTCTTTACCTGCTTCTCCTGGCATACATGAACAAGTCTTACATATCCAAGTAAATTCTTTGAAGAGATCTAGCACTTTCTTCTCAACCAACCCCTGATCAGGTTGTATATTCTTTTGCAGCCTTTAACTTCCGTTGTGCTTTCCTTTACCACTTCAAAAAACTCACTGGTTTAACCTGTTTTCCCACATCTATCTTCCCAGTGCTTTTTCTAAATCACCAACTCCTGTGACTTTATGTGGCCTACTTGATTACAGTGAAAACCCCTGAGCTTTTTTACTTCTCTTACCCCTTTATGGGTTTCCTTTTCACCCTGTGGGAAACTATCTTTACTATCTTCAATGAGATCTTCTTTTCCTTGATCACCTGAGTGTTTCTCTTTTCCCCAATTTCGATCGTTCATAGATTGAAATTGGTGTCAGGAGCCAAATTTTGATTTATGAACCAACTTACAATCATCAGCCATTTCTGCTGCTAATCTTGAAGTTTTAATTCTCTGCTCTTCCACATGAGTTCTCACTAGATCTGGAAATGAACCTTTGAACAACCCCACAATAATTGTCTAAGAGCATCATACGTTTGATCTATTTTCAATGCCCTTATCGAACTATCAAACTTACTTTATTTGATCCTTTCAAACTCAATGTACATTTCACAAGGTAACCTTCTTAGGGTCCTAAAATGTTTGTAGGCTTCTTACGATGGCTTTTTCTCAACTCATCATACTCCTCAGATACCTCCTCTGATAGTGATACAAATACTTCACTAGCTCGACCTACCAACTTTCTTTGGATCAACAATACCCACATGGTCACCAGTCACTTGATTTGTTTAGCCACTTTCTCAAATGAAATGAAAAAGTGCATGGACATTGCTCTCCATCACTGTCCTCATCACTACTCCTACTTTTCACATCTACCTCCGCTAATTTAAATTTATTTTGAGTTTTCATTTCCAACCTCCAAAGTTCAAAAACTCTCTCTTTCTCCCTTTCTTGTGCTAGGGCCTTTATTCCCTTTTCTGCTTTCAATAGTAATTCAAATTGTACGTTTTCTCTTCTGTTCTTTTTCTTTTGCCTCTAACTCAAGCTGCTTCATTTGCCATTGAATTTTTGCCATTTCCAAAGATTCCGATGGAATTCCTGGCAATTGTAAATGCTGCATGATTGCCTCAAATTTTTCCCCTTTCCTCACAGATACAAGGTCAGAAATCACACAACACCAGGTTATAGTCCAACAGGTTTATTTGAAAACACAATCTTTCACAGTCTAATTCCTTCTTCAGGTGTTAGTGAGAGAGGTAGCATCAGACACAGAATTTACAAGTAAAAGATCAAAGGGTCACACCACTGATGAGGATGTATTAAACAGACATAAGATGCTGTTAAATCTTTAATCTGTTAGAAGATTTTAATTGATTAATATGTGTATATAAATCCCCAAATTCCTTTGAAGTCACTGTCCTGAGAGAAGGAAATGTTTTATCAGTGTAAAGAAAAGGTGACATTTTAGTCAGACAATGCATGTTAGGTGCGTGGCCTTGTTTAGAATGTGTCTGTGTTTTGGTTTGGAGTCAATCTGGTTTTATGTTTAAAGTAGGAATTTCTGAAATGCCACTAGACTGGCTGTCTATAAATTGAGTGCTTTTTGAACAAAATTGAATGAATCTACAAATCCAAATTCACCCCATAGATTTGTGTGAGAGAGGGAGAGTGACTGTGGTGTGTGTGTGTGTGTGAGAGAGAGAGAGAGATAGAGAGAGAGAGTGAGAGTGGGAGAGACAGTGAGTGTGTGTGTCAGAGAGAGGGAGAGTGAGACTCTGTGTGTGTGTGTGTGACAGACAGAGAGAGAGTGGGAGAGTGTGTGTGTGTGTGTGTGGGAGAATGAGTGTGTATGTGAGAGTGGGAGAGTGACTGTGGTATGTGTATATGTGGGGAGAGAGAGGACGAGAAAGTGTGTGTGTGGCAGAGAGAGAGAGAGACTGTGTGTGTGTGTGTGTGTGTGTGTGTGTGTGTGTGTGTGTGTGTGTGAGAGTGAGTACTTGAGACAGTGTTTGTATGAGAGAGGATCTGTGTGAGAGTGTATGTATGTGTGTGTGTCAGTATGTGTGTATGAGAGAGGATCTTTATGAGCGTCTGTGTGTTTGTTTGTGTAAGTGAGTGTGTGTATATGTATGCGCGTGTGTGTGTGAGGATGTATACTGTGGTGGGGTCACCTGTAGTGTGACATGAACCCTAGATCCCGCTTGAGGCTGTCCTCATGGGGACCGAACTTGGCAATCAGCCTCAGCTCGGCGACTCTGCGTTGTTGTGTATCCCAAAGTCTGCCTTGGAGGACGTTTACCTTAATCTCTGAAGCTGAATGTCCTTGACTCTGCTGACTTGTCCAACATTGTCAACCTCATATGATGCAGGCAAGGATGCCCCGAGGCATGGTATATTGGCAAAACCATGCAGACGCTGCGACAATGGATGAATGGACACCATGCAACAATCACCAGACAGGAATGTTCCTTACCAGTGGGGGACACTTCAGTTGTGAAGGATATTCGGTTTCGGATATATGACCAAGTTTGGTACCCATGAGGACGGCCTCAACCAGGATCTTGGGTTCATGTCACACTACCGGTGACCCGAACCACATTATACACACACACACATATTCGCACACAAGCATACATACACACCCGCCCACTCATACAAACACACTCTCAAACACACACACACACTCACACAGATCCTTAAGACCATAAGACCATAAGATATACATGCAAAAATTAGGCCTTTCAGCCCATTGATTCAGTCATGGCTGAGAAGTTTCTCAACTCCATTGTTCCGCATTCTCCCACTCTCATACACATTCAATGTCACTCCCACACATGTGCGCACACACACACACTCACCCAAATCCTCTCTCATACACACCCTGTCTCTGCAGCGCACACACGCGCACGCACACACACACACACACACACACCCAGACATGTACACACACTCTCTCCCTCTCCCACACACACACTCTTTCTTGCTCTTCCCCCCCCCACACACGCGCACATGTGCACACACACAAATGCACACGTGCACACACACACTCTAACAAACACACATGCACTCTCTCTCACATACACTCCTCCTCACATAAACACACACGCGACCCTTTGGTCTTTTCCTTATAAATTCTGTGTCAAGACTATCACTGTCACTAACACCTGAAGGAGTAAGACTCCAAAAGCTTGTATTTTCAAATAAACCTGTTGGACCATAACCTGGTGTCGTACGCTTTCTGACCTTGCCCACCTTAATCCAACACCGGCACCTCCACATCATGGCTCATAGACACAGGGGCAACCCCAACTCCAGCTGGTTTGCTAATTCCAAAAGCATTGCCTTGCTTACTTTCTGTAAAACTCACAAAGTGACTTCTTCCACCCCAAGAAACTCTTGATGACTGAAAGAGCCATGGTTATGCAAGGCACGCTGTGTTTAAACCTAATGCAATACCCAAAATAAAAACACTTACCATTTTGCATGCCTTTGAGACAACAACCCAAAATCCAACCTTGCACACTGAGATACTGCCATAATACGATTCAATATATGATTCAATATGACTAGGCTGTGTATGGGTTGCTGATGACAGACAGGTCTGATTTTCTCACGATTGAACTTTGCAGAATTCAAAACTGGCATCTTCTTGGGGTATTTCAAGAACAATTAACTATAAAGCCATAATGTGTGGTTTGGATGTAAATGGAGGGAAATGCAGGGTAAGAGTGGCAGGGACCTGACATCAGTGAATAAGTTCAAGTTTTACTACAAACTGGAAGTTTTCATGCTTATTTTTCTGGTCTATCTCATAAGCAAGCAGGTTTTGGGATTCAGTTGCTCTAAGTTGCTAGCTGCCTGCTGTAACCAATAGGTTATCACCTGTAGCCTGGCAGTGAACAAGATGCAAAGTGCTTCTGATAAAGGAGTCATGAGTACTTTGTTTTTACATTTGTTTCAAGATTAATACACGTACGTACATTCCTATTTGCTTTAAGAAATCTTTGATTTGTTTGAATCTTGATTCACATGAAACATGTCATTTAGAAGTAACAATGTAACACCTTCAGAACAAATTTCATATCTTATCAGCTTTAATCAGACTGTGACGACAGGAGTTTTGAAGTATGAAGTGGTCTCAATGTCACACCTTTGACTGCTGGTATAAGAACAAGCCAGTTGCTGCTCACTCACGTTGAAAGAAGAATTAAGAGAGAGATCATGGCTGGCTGGCAGTGTTTCCTTGCTATTTTCTTGAGTGTTCTTGTTTCAGTCTCTGCTTTTCCTTCCCAGAATGTGAAGGATCATCAGCAAATTGCTCAAAACAAGGAAGAAAGGTCTTTGGAAATGAAAGTTGATTCAAGTAACACAGAATTGCAAACCATCATAGCCCACGCTATACAAGAATTTAGCAAGAAGTCTTCATTCATCTACAAAATTGTGCAGAATGTGAAAGCTGATGTAAAGGTAACATAATAACACTTTCATTGACAATGTCGAATGAACACAGTGTGTTCTGCCTTTGAAGGAGACTGATTGCTGCTAAAGAGTGACACTTCACTAAGTTTGGACTTAGAAAAGTACCATGATGGTGCAAATGCAAACGTAATCTCAATACAACATTAATTGTAACTACTTTTTAAAAATGCTAACTTTAATTGAAGACCTATTTAAAATTTAAGCTGACGGCGTGGATAATGGCCTAACATATTACTTTATTACTTCTGATATCTGGTTAAAACCCAGAACAAACCAATGTGATGAACATTCATGAGGAAGAGTCACAGTGGACTCAAAATGTTTTCTCTGTTGCTCTCTCCACAGGAACTGCCAGAACTGCTGGGTTTTTCCAGCATGCTGTGTATTTATTTGTAACAAATATTCTGTCATTTGTGAAGGATAAAATAGCATTTAAAATAGGAAAACACAAAATAAATATATTTTGCTCCTATGCCAGGTAAATGAAGGAACTGCATACATTTTTGATATCGTTTTGGGAAAAACTGATTGCCGAGTCGTCCAAAGTGAGAAACCAAATGTAAACTGCCAAATAATTCGGACCGAAGACCAGGCGGAGGTAAGTGAGACACAGTGTGACATCAAGTGTATTTTCTCCAGTTCTCTTAAAGCTGCATCAGATAAATGAGTTTAAATGTGTATTGTTTTATTTTCTTTCTAGTTCTACCTGTGTCACTTTATCGTGTGGCAAGCATCTGATTCCAAAAAGGAACACATGTTGTCAAGTAATTGCAAGAAACTTGATCTGTAATGCCTGTTGTTCAGACTTCTACAATGAAGAAAATGTACCTGAATCAATCTTTCATGATTTTCTGTGCCTGAATTAACAGTTAACATTAAGAGCCTTTCATCTGGTTATTGAAATATCAAAGCATAGATGACTTAATAAAATATCTAATGTGTTGTTACCTGTGTAAGACCAGCTAGTTGATTCTCTGGTCTCTGAAACAATGGACTGTGAAAAGTCAATTAATTGCTTTAACATGAACAGTACTTCATAATAAAGTCGTGATCATCCCTAAAACAGTGTTCTGAAATATTTCTTCTAATCTCCAGTGGTTCGATCAATCTGACCATCTTTGTCTGATTTTGTTCTAGTTTCCGAATCAGTTTAAGTCAAAGAGCTGATGCAATTAAATTTGTGAATGTGAGCATGAAATTATAATGGGATATGGACAGACTTAGTGAGTTGCTAAAAGCATGGAAGATGGAAATTTGTAGGTAAAATCTTCTAACCTCTTGAGTGGCATTTATTTGGGCAGAAGAATGGCAGATGAATACCCACAACCTCTTCATGCCTTCACCCATAGTAAATATGGGATAGGAAGGGTCATCGTTATCCACCCTATCTCACTACCAATTGAGGCCCTTAAGTCGACGATTAATGATCAGTTAAGGGCCTAATCTTGCTTGTGATGTTATTCATATATCTGTCGTGGTGTAGTGGTAATGTCATTGGACCTGTCATTCAAAAACCTCGGCTAATATTCTGGGATATGGGTATGAATCCCATCTTGGCAGTTGGTGACATTTGATTTCAATAAGAAGGTCTTGTGTAGTGGTAGTGTTCCTAACTCTGGACTAGAAGAACTTGGTTCAAGTCGTACCTGCCTCTGAGACGTGTCATAACATTCTTGAACAGATTGATTCAAAAGAATCCTCCTGGAGTACGGGTGGGCCTGTAGTCACATGGGGAACCCACTAGAATAAACCATTTGCAGGCTACCTGTTGGGTGCCTGGTTTCTTCATGAATCACATTCAGTGCCTTGATCATGGGATCTGCCATGAGGGAAAGGGTCACCTGGCAAGAGCCAGTGCTGACCTCTGATTGGTTGGTGACTCTCAATAGTCATCTGCCGCCTGGGGTCTTAACCCAAGAAAAAAGGCACACTATGTGGTCTCTCAATTGCCTGATTAGCTTGTGGCTGAGTAGGTGTTTACCACTTGAAGCATTATGTGCTTTCTAGCTGGTGGGTGTGATCCCTGTTTCCTCCACAAGATTTCATCCATTGAGGACGAGAAATTGGGCCATTCATTTTCAATGTGAGAAGAGCATATCAGAATCTTTTTCTCATGTGAGAGACTTTGAGCCATAGAGGAAAGTTGACTAAGTATGGAAATCAGCGAAACTAGGGATCCTATGGGCTAAACTTTCCCACAACTGGGAAGCTCTGACATCAGCTGGAAATCCATGGCAGCAGCATGTACCGTTAGTCAAGAGGAACTCCCCGTCTCGATTTTGGGTGTCAGCACCTGGCATTGGGGTTGTCATCCTATCAGGATGGTAACCTGCCCACCGAGACCTGCCTCAGCAGTGTCTTCAACAACAGTAGCCACTAATGAGAGAGGAAGAGGCTCTGTGGCCTACAGCCTACAGCACGGAGACTGAAAATTCTTTAAATCACTGCTGTTGAAAGAGAAAGTCCCTCCTCCCAAGGAAATTGCTGGGTCCATGGGGACTGCCTTTGTGCTTGTGTGACCCTCTTTTTAAAGAAGAAACTACCCCTCACCAGGGCAATGGCTGGAAGGTCACCAACAATGGCACCACACAATGGGGGAGGGATGTGTGGATTTGGTAAATTGCCAGCAGTTGAGTAGAATGGTTTTTGACTATTTACATTTGTCTCTTGCCTCTTTACGGAGAGAAGGCAGAACAATTTTGCGCATGCCATTTGTTAAAAATTCCTGATGCTGAACTTTCTCACGGAGATAATCTGGCACAACTTCTTGACACTATTCAATTAGATCTTGGCTAATGTGTACATTAACTCCACTCACCTTGCTTGGCTTTTTATAACTTGACACCCTTATCTAATCAAAACCTTTTAATCAGGTTGAAATTTGTTTCAAACAAGCGGCAATTACAAATCTTTTCAATTAGACCTCCTGGCTTATACTACCGTTTGTGTGAAGAAAATTCCTGATTTCATTCCTGAATGGCCAGGCTTTAAGGTTGTGGTTCCCTTTTCTTGGTAGCCCATGATACCACTGAGAAGGAAAAGGGCAGCCAATGTATGGGGAAACCATTGCCTGCCAGACATGCTCCAAGCCACAAAATATTCTGACCTGGAAATATATTGCCATTCTTTCATTGTCGCTGGGTAAAAATCCTGGAGATCTCTTCGTGACAGCAATGTGTGTGTCACTAAACTCCAATTTGTCATAGTTCGGAATCTAATTAACCTTGTTGTCATACTCCCAGCCCTCGTTGGTCTTCTGAAACGAATATTGTACAAAATGAACATGTACACTTTTTCCAGCACATGGGTCATCACAGACCATAACAGAAGGTCCTATGTTGTAGGAATATCATTAGGACTTTGTAGAAACTTGAGCCTCTTCAGAAGTCTATTGCAAACTGCTAACATTTATTGCTGATAGTTATATTCAGAAGTATGGCAGAGCAGAGTTCTGCTAGTTCCTTCCTTCAGATCTCTGCTGCGGGTGATTTGACATCATCATGATATAGGTGTTTATTTATATCGCCTGTAGTTATTATTAGAGTATTGTTCCAGTTAGCACTTCACTCCATATCTCCCCCCACCATCCCAAAGTCTTGATCCCACATCCAATTTCCAATATTTAGTCATCCTCGTACACATCTCTGCACAGTCTCTGTTCTTCATCAACCTCACAAAGTGAAATGAGTTCCTTTAGATGTTGGGGTTAGTTTGTTCTTTCCAATTCTCTAAGAGTCTTTCCTCTCGGTCTCTTTCAGTCATGGCTGTACTGTCATGGTTTCCTCTGAATGATCAGTCATGTAGCCCATCCAGTTAATGGATTCTTTTTCAGTGAAATTGTTTTTATGGATGATTTCATTTTCTGTTCAGGTAAGCTAAGATATGATTTCATCTGTTTCAGTCTCACAATCGTGCTACTGGTCCCTGAAACTCACATGCTCTCACTTTGTCAAAGTGGGTGGGTCATAAGGCCTTTTTCGCTGGGTAGAAGATGTAGACCTGGGCTTGCGTTCTTGTGTTCTTCATTCCATTGTGTTTGTTCATCATCTTATGTCATGATGTTGGTGTTGGACTCAGGGCCATTCATTTGCTTCCCGAGAACTTACTCACTTAACACGTACTGGTATGTCTATAGCATACATATCTTTCTTTATCATGCGTCCCAATTAGCACATTCACACAACCAAGCATCCTGTCTTGTTGGTCAGTAGTCCTCATGCTGGGGGTCGACATCTTGCTGTACGGTAGTGTGTTACACCAAATTGAAACTTGCACCATGCCCAAGCAGCTGAAGCTGAAGCTGGGAGAGGCATGCAGGAGCCACAGATGTGAAGATCTTTATAGGGAAACAGTATGGTACTGACCAGCACACAGACCTGCTGGTCCCTAATCCCTGGACAAGATAATGCACTCTATTAGGGACCAGACCAAATCCCCTCAAAATATATCAAAGAGATAGTGTAGATGCTAACTTTTCTTATTTAATGGCATTGCATTCTGAATGCAGTTCAATTGGTCAAACTACCAGTCTTGGAGCAAAACACACTTTATTCATACACTCTCGTTAAAATACAACAAAAGAAAAGAGAAGTTGTAATAATTAAGCTCCATTGGAAACTTAATAGAATAATCGATGATTTAACTACTAAACAGTAACCGTTCTGACATAGTAACATCCCATAAATGCACCGCTGGCAAAGGCAAATTCAGTAAAATAGATTGTCTCACAGGCAATTCTCCAGGCCAGAAGAAAAAACATCATGATAAAACTCTGTGAGAGAGACAGCAGCAGGGAGAGATGTACTGCAGCTTTGAAACTCAGCAGCAAGACCCCAGCAACTGCTACTGAAGGCTAAAACTAAAAATCCTGTTACTGTGTGAGCTTGACCCCACCTATTTAGGCTGCTTCTTTGTTCAAACTTGAAAAAACCCAAGGCCTCACAAGCTGTTTACTTTATTAGATTCAAACAGACAGCTTGTTACCTCTGTCTCAAAACCTCTCTTCAACAAAACCAGGACAAAATACACCTCTTTAAGCCATTGTACACCTCCCCCTTTCAAAAACAATGAACTGTCAATATACAATGATAGCTCCATTTTTAAAAACCCTTAGTCCTACCCTGTTGGTACATTCCAATACATATATATTCCATTGACTCTAAGCATGCAAACATTCACTATTACAATCCATTTAAGTCCATTTTTTCCCACCACTGAATGCCTTCATCTTCCTTCATGAAAGTCGCGACAACGCATCAGCAATTATGTCCTCTTGTCCTGCCATGTGTATTATTTTCAAATTGAATATCTGCAACAATAAATTCCATCTAACCAGTCTTGAACTTTTATCCTAAAATTCTTCCAAAAACTTTAAGAGGTTATGATCAGTATATACAATTGTTTACAACACATTACTAGCAATAAAAATGTTGAAATGTTACAACACCAACACCCACCTCATGGATTCTTTCTCAATCATGCAACATTTCTTTTGATTATTCAATTTTCTGGAAAAATACCCAATATGTCTCTCTATCTTCTCATTGTGTTCCTCAAGAGTTCAGCACTGACACCCATATCACTCGTATCGATAGCCACCTTGAATGACTTTGAGTAATTTGGTTTTGCCAGCACTGGGGCAGTGATTAACACAGCTTTCATGCTGTCAAATACCAACTGATGTTCTTCCATTCACTGAAATTTTCTGCACATCTGCAACATTTAGCCACACTGCTAAAATTCAGTATCAACTTCAGATAAAAAAACATTCATTGCCAGGAATCATAGTACTTTCCTCTTTGTCAATGGTATAGAAAACTCCCCAATAATCTTTGTTTTCTAGTAGACACCTCCATTGTGGTCAATAAACACTGGTTCCCACTTCCTGCTTTAGGTAGGAGTCCTATGCAAACAATTCAGACACTTGTAAAAGGTTCCTTGAATGCAGCAATGGGAATTAAAGGTGCTGGCTTTATGTCTGCCTGAGGTTTTCCAATTACCTGACATGTATGATACGTCTGGCAAAATTCAAACGCATGCTTACGCAGTCCAGGCCAATAAAAA